ATGGTAAAGCGCATTGACTTAGTGAAAAAAAGCAATTGCTTACAGTATTCCTATAGAAAATTATTGTTTTATAGATATACATCGAACCTTTATATATTTTATATGGATTCCCTGAAACAGCCTTAAAAAATAAGATGAGATTTTTACTATGATAATGTTAATGATTTCTTAAATTTACGCGAACACTACACATTGAATAAAACTAAATTTACGGATTTTATCGCGTTTATTAATTTTAATTTATATAAAATTAATAAACGCGATAAAATCCATAAATTTAGTTTTATTCAATATGATAATGTTTATCTTTACAAGTTTTCTAAATAGGTGTAATATCTGAGAAAATTTTAAGATTTTCAAAAAAAGCTCTTTGATGTAATCTTATTAAGCAATTGACATTAAAAGCAAAAAAATGGATTTTCTACTGGAAAGTTAGTTTACTATATCCGAGCAAAAATTATATTGGAACTCGCTCGCGTTTAAGCTTGTATTTTTGGTACTATTGACACTTGTCGGCTAGGCTTCACACATCTATGATGTATCATCACCACTATACTCTTTATCCTACTACCGCAGGCTTCGCCATGCTGGCAACAAGTTTATATTCACCACTTCCAAATACAGTGATAGTAATGTCGGAAAAGTTCGTAAAGAACAATTTTTCCTGAAGGATTGCGCTGATTCAAAATTTTATTTTAAGAGAATCCCGGAGAGTATAAAAATAGTTTTAGCTTTAAATATATCCAATGAGGCTTTGGAGACATATTGTCTTTTTAGTGTTTAGTGGCGTTTAGTAAGGATTGTACTCATTTTCATCTGATTATATTATATTGACTCATTTGTATTTGATCTAGTTAGTGTTGAATTAATGAATAAGTAAAGTTCTCTAAAGCGCTAATCGCTCGTCGTAAATTTTATAGTACGTAACTAGTCCAGGTTAGATTCCCGCCAGCTCTAAAATCATGGCTATTTTAAGGGCTGATTCACCACGCGTTAGGCGGTGAAGGAAAATATCATGATGAAACCTGCATGTCTGAGGAATTTTCAAGGACATGTGAAATCCGCCATTATGCACTAGAGCAGTATAGCCGGCTAATTGCTCCGTAGCCCTCTCAGAAATTAAATGAGGTCTGTTGGTTGTTGGACATATATAGGAAAGTTTAGGTACATTTTACTGACTGAAAGCAGAAGCTCCCACGGTCAAATTATGACTAACATTTTATCCAAGAACAAAAAAAATGTACCCCAATTCCAAGGCCGATGATAGTTAGCAGTACTATCTGTATCCATGGAAGAGTTGATATTCATTCTGTAGTGATTTTAAATGCTGACAATTTGATATAATAATGTGACCATGCAGTGGCGGTAAAAAATATTCAATAGATAGGCTATCACCTTTCTGGTGTCGTGAGAAACAAACCAGGAGATAGGCAGGAGCGAATTCCTAAAAAAAAAAAACTGCGGTTACCAACCCGATTTGCAAGTTTGACAACTATGGCAAATATTCTCTACAGGGAAATCTATGGAGAAGACTCATGTTCAGCTGTGGTCTTTTGACAACCTGTAAGGGTACCGGTGATGTATAAAAGTGTTATTATTATATTGAAATAAAAGTATATATTTTTAAAACTACAACCGTATTCTTCTCAATTCGCTTCTTTCTGGTTCTTCTCAAGACGGAGGTTTTTTCCAAACCAGTGGTAAAAGTTAAAAATTACTTTCATTAAAAATTACTTGTAATGAATATTGAATAAAATTATTTAATTCTATTCTATTCTGTTGTTGCTGTATTTTTAAATAAGTAACAAGTGTAATTAGCGTAATAACAGTGTATTTAATTACGGCATTAGACAACACTTTGCTAATGGATCATGGCATTCGAGTATGTAGCGTTAATGGACACAAGTTCGAAGAGATGAAACTATGTGATAAAACCCGTAACAGTAATAACCGCAGAAGAGCTCGAGTAATCTTACCCAACGAATCAGTAAGATAAAGTAGCAATGAGCGGACGAAAGCCTGACAAACCGACAACCGATGGGCATAAAGAGTTTATTGAGCCCACCATTAGATGGCAGGATGATCGGATAAGACAACATACAGGAAGTCGATGGATGCAGATGGATCAAGACTTTTTTTGGCGTTTCTTGGTACTATGCCAGGCAGTATTTAATTCAAAATATGCCTAATATTATCTAGTTTATAGTATGTAGATTAACTTGTATTTTGTTAAAATCTGAAGTGATAAACGAACTTACAGTTCATCTGATGAATTGGCCATTGAAGTCCATGGATACCGGAAGGTAACCTCAAACAGATAAGACTTCAGATGTGTTGTCAGTTGCCATCCCTGAAAACTGACGTGAAAATTCTCACAGTAACCGTTTGTCCTTTCTGCATCCTTTGTAACGGAACACATCAGTGCAAGCTATACTCTTTGGCGGCAGAGATAGGTAGGTAGGTGTAACCTAACCAGACGTACTCTGAGGCAGAAAAGTTTTATGCAATGGGATGTAAACTGAAAATTCAAATGTAGTTCACTTTTATTAAGGTAAAACATCGTTTTTACATTGCATTACCTCCGCGTTTTTTAAGAATTAGCTAGTACATACATAATGTTTGTACTAGCGCCTTAGGAACTCCTTGCCCGATGACATCAGAAAAGCTACTAATAAGTACGCTTTTGAAAAGTTGGTCCCTGATCATTTATTAAAGACAACGCATTTTACATGACTCATCTATTTAATATGTATTGCCAAACAGACGTATATATTTATAGTCATTTGTATATACTAATTATGTATGTATTTAAATATGTATACTTGTATGTATATCCATTTATTTATATATTTAGTTTATTTATTAGTAGTTTGTAATTATCATTTGTATTGTGTTCTCTTATTCTATATTGCCATACCTACGTCAAATTCTCACCACTCCATGGGTTGACTGGTAGAGAATGCCTCAAGGCATTAAGTCCACCCTTTGTATTCTTTTGTTTTAGGATGCAATAAAGAATAAAATAAATAAATAAATAAATGTTAATGATATTTATAACAAACAATATAAACGAATTGTTTAACTCTTTCTTTTCAGAGTCAAAGTTACGAAATAATAATTATTATTACTATAATTTGCATTACATCAAATTATTATTTGTTACAGACAAAAAAAAACTATTGCGAAAATACAATAGTTTTTTTTTTGGTTTTTATAATATCAGGGTAACTGGCCTCTAATAGAGACCTCTCTTCTTCTATTGGCCCTGGTCATTGTCTACAGCTAGCTTGCTCTAAAACCTTGTGCGGATGTAAACATAAAACTAGGGCGTATGTATATAAAAAGCATACGTAATATTGCTGTGAATCATAGCAACATTAAGTATGTGTAGTTATAGCGAGTGTAGAAAACCGGAGACCCTTTTTATTAAAAGCGAGGCATTCCATCTCAGTCCACAACACATCGGCATTTTAAATCTTAATCTAGGATAAATGTAGATTTCTATGGCTACAGTATCCACTTAATATCAGGCGTACTGGGTGCCCGTTTGTCTTACCCTTTTTTCTATAAAAAACAACGATGCCATCTTTTATTATATTTGTGGGACCTGCAGCCCATATAGTGCTTCTGTCTCTATTTTAGTGCGCTTATTTGTTACACTATATTACCTTCTGCGCGGATATTAGCTTCAGACACTGTTTGTGAATTGTGGATGTGCTTATAGCATACTGGTTAAAATTTAATAAAATTGAGTTATTTTAAATTATTTTATTTTATTGTAGTAAGTTAGATACATATTAACTAAACATATATTTATTTTATATCAAATTGAAACTATAGCAAAATTAGTGACAGTATCTAATATGTTTAGTTTTTATTTATTTAAAATACTTATAATCCAAACGATAAATGAAACTGTTTCTTAAAATTTAATAATTAGAGAAAAATATATACCTACATTGGTAATTTTTATTTATTCTTCAGAAATTATATTATTCATTTAATATGGTAAGTACGAGTGATATGGTCACCTTAAGCTTTGTTGCCGTATAAAACCAAAACTGGAAGGATAGAGACAAAAATACAAAGTTGTATACTATAACTATTATATTAAGAAAAAAAAACAAGCCTTGGCAATAATTGGGAACACTTCGGAAAATTTACTTTAAAAAACTCACTATACTACACCACAATAAAATCGACTAAAATATTTACTATAACATCAACTGTCAAAATGGCGTCGATAACGCATCGGCCTTTTGACCCTTTACTATTTGATCGACTGATGAAGAGCTAATGTATCACAAAGCCATCTATGCAAACAAGACTGTAGTTTTGGAGTTACAAGAAAGTGACCATGTTACCCTCACGTGGGACTGTACAAAATATTCTTACCGCAATGAAATAAACTTACATAAATAATAATTTTAACAAGTTTATAAATAGAGGTAATCGAGTATTTAGTTTTTTTATTATGGTAAAATTAATTGATATAATATATTATATATATATATATATATATATATATATATATATATATATATATAGTATTGACTATAATTATTTATCAATCTAATGTTAGGATTTAATATCAGCATTACAACATAAATTGTTGAATGTTTTATACAAAACTACTTAATTATTTTCGAAAAAAATATTCAAATTAAAATAAAATAGTAACTACTTAAATTATTTACAAGGGATAAAATACTATAATTTATTTAAATAACATCCCATATGATGAATATTTACATATAAGTCTCCAAGATAGTAGATATGATCGAAGTTTCACAAACAATAAGAGTCCCACGCGAGCCTTACTACGTGAGGCAGGCGGACAAGGGTATTATTAGTACAACACGTTATGTTTATATAATCCAAGCCACTCGGCCGCCCCTTTCCCTTTCTTCATTAGGCCGGGACATATTTTCAAGTGGAGCGGACACGTTGGCAGAGACAGGAGCCTCGCTCACGCGACGTCGCGTGAGTGGAGGCTCGCGTCATGCTCCATAATCAATACGCACGCACACAGCTGTACTGAGAAGTGTAATGATGGCAAGAACGATCTGTACACAGGCTATCACGACCAAATCCCGCGAAGATGGTCTTGAATCCTCATCCAGCAACCCATCACTGAAATAGAACAGGGCAATACTATTAGTAGCAATTATTATATCACTATCACTACCATTTTGCTGATGCCGTGAACACTTGTTTAGTTGCATAGTTGGTTAGCTAATAAAAAAAAACTCGAAAAATAGTATACATGTCACTTTAAATCGACATCACGTTTCTTAACTCTTTCTTTAACTTTTTCACGGCTGTAAATACTTTAGTTGTGAGTTCGTGGCAACATCAGTAACAGTAAATCTATCATCCCATTTCGCCCAGTTCTCTTATGTAAACGTATTAGAAGCGATTATGATGAGTAAACATCTATCTCCACCAGTGTACTTTTAGTAACTGATAAAGAAGACCAAAATGGTAATATATATATATATATATATATATATATATATATATATATATAAAATTGTTGCCATTTATATATATATTATATATATATATATATATATATTTTTTTATATGGGAATAAAGTTTTAAGGTTATTTTCTTTATTGTTTTAAACGACGTTCTTTATAAGTTAAGTTATGATTTTAGATTAAAACTTACTCATATTCAGCGCCCGGTGGATCTAAAATGGTTCTACAGCATTGCACAATTAGAGCGACGAGTAAACAACCCGCTGCCGCCCAGAGAACGCTCGCCGCTCCCGCCCCAACCATCGTTCCAGTCATTGCACTCCAACCTCGCGATGTATGTATTGATACAGCTAGAAACAAAAGAGACAATATTTTTCACGCAGGTAAATTTTTCCTGATTGTACGGAACAAACAATATAAATTTATTTATAACCACTACTACGTCTCATACATGTTGACACGGATATTTTTCATTCAAAGACTATAAAATCCAAAGGATATTTATTAGCGTAGACAGCAACATAATGCTGCTATGAATCGTATGATGAATGAAAGGAACCAAAAACCTTTTTACGCGTAACGAGGAATTCTATTTTAGCCCTCTTGGGTGAAAAGGCATTTTAATGTTTGATTGAGTATAAGTGTAGATGTCTATGGACTGCATCACTCATTTACTATCTAGTTAGTACCTATTTGTTACTATATTTTGGTTGCTATTGTACTTGTTAAGTACTTTCTTTGTTATAAAAAATAAAAATATAAATTTCTTTGCAACTTTCCGCTAAACATATAAAATGATGTGTCTTACCTGGATTGAAGCGCACCTCCCGCCCTCCCTCAATTGCATACACTAACTCCGTCACCACTAGACCAAGCCAAGGGAGGGCGGGAGGTGCGCTTCAATCCAGGTAAGACACATCATTTTATATGTTTAGCGAAAAGTTGCAAAGAAATTTATATTTTTATTTTTTATTATAATGGATTTTCGCAAAGTAACGCCTGATTCTATCAATCACTTTCTTTGTTTTCTAGGCATACTAAATATTTGTTCCAATACGCAAATCGTTTTTCTTTTTAATATATCATTGTATAATTACGTCTCTGATATCGCATTCAAACGAAATTTCGACCTTATCGTAAACCACAAAATATGTATAAATAAATGATTGACTAGAGTGTTTTGGGTACATATGTGGCAATAAAACATGTTCTGATTGGCAAAAAATTTGTTATTTTTAAACCAAAAGGTTTTTTAATTTTTACCTGCAGCTATAACACTGAAACAACCAGCCGGTATTCCTAGGCCCATATTAAACTTTTGACGTTCTTCTATAAACGCTACGCAACCCATCACCATCGCCGATATCCCGCAAACTATCTGCAAGTAAACAAAGCTTTAGAAAAATTGAGATGACGATAAATATAAATGTATGTGTTACCCCTATTCTATAAAAAAAGATTATGAATATTATAGCCGTGTGGCTGCAGCATTAGAGAATCCATCACCACATTTCTTCCTATGGGTGCTAAAGGGGGGTCCATAAGAAATGTCAGAAAGATCACGAGACTTTTGATATATAGGGGAATAGTTCCTATTGCGCCAGATGTGGAACATTATGGTTGTAAGATTACGAAGATTAGCGACAAAAGTTCGGGATACTACGATCAGTTATACGCATATTGATAAATTCTCCATTGAACAGAGAATAGTGAGACTTACTCGGAAGCTGTCATCACACGTTATTTTTTAATGTTTTTTCGTAAAATTGAAGTGGCCAACAAACGAACAATCCACACAATGGTAAGTGGCTACTCTCAATGATCACCAGTCTTAAAACGTAGAATGCTAGAGATAGGTGATCATCTCTCTCATATCACCTCTGAGGCCTCATAGCCTGTAATTACACTGGCTCTCTGTCCTTGAACAACCGGAATACAGTAGTGCAAGTGCTGCTATTTGGCTGCAAAATTTTGTAAGAGGATGACCCACCATGATGGACTCCGAGGTAGAAAAGGAATCCCGCCATCCATTTCTTATGTAATATATATATATATATATATATATATATATACCGTATTATAATAAAAAAATTACAACCTGCAGTACGCGAAGTCTTAGCACAACGGCTAGGGGGTATGAAAACCCGTTCTGAAAAATTCCTCCATTCCTGTCACCTGTGAGGGGAGCAACAGATTCCTTTCGTTGGGATAAAGTTGTCTGCAAATGATAATAATTTATTATTATGGAAATATTGTCATAAACGATCGAAACTTAAATCTTTATATGTATAATCTTCGGGCCATCTGTTAGTGATCGTGTAACTTCCGAATTGCTTCTTTAGTCCTGGGTTTGAATCCCGGATTGGGCCAAAAACAATTAACGGATTTTTATGTCAAGAAATTCTCAGTAGTAGTCCGGAATCAGGAATTTGGCGGTGTTTCACTCCAATGCCTTGGAAAAAACATAAAGTCGTGGGTCGGATTACTGTCTTATCGAACTATGAGAATGAGGGATTAGCACTTGTGTTTGTGACATGCGCCAGAAGGTATCCACTTACTAACAGGTGAACTGTGTGTTCGTATAAAAAAGCACAATATATAAAATGTTAATTTAATGCTAAAAGAAGATAACATAGTTTGAATCTCATAGTTGGTCGAGTTATAATTTTTTTTAATTTACACTGTCTCTGTCTGGAGTGATTTCAGTAAAAAACACATCGCGGGACCTAATGGAAAGGGCAGAACATATAACACAAATGGGTTTTAAGTTGTAAATCTTCTCATCTAATATAACCCTGTCCCATATGCCCTAAGCTCTCCCTACTGATTAACAAACGACGCTCTACTGACCTACAAATTGTAGTATTTTCGCTTGATAACCTTTTTTCCAATCGGTGGTCGGTTCCTTAACCTGTCTCCTCTCATAAAGATAAAATAAATTTACAGTAAAATGTATACCACATTAAGCTCCTCCATGTCGCCTTCACAATTAAAATGCGGTGTTGCACATAATTTACGCTTCATCGGTATTAAAATTCGAATGTTCTTGTTTGCTGATTCAAATTTGTGGTCCGTGTGCGGGATCAAAGTATCTTAACAACTGAAAGGAAACCAATCTCTGTGAGCAAATATTTTGATAGAATTTGATAAATAAAAGATTCAGAAGAAAACTGAGATTAAGTCAGTGCGTTTTATCATCGCTTACTATCAGGTCGGATAGTAGTCAAACATTGACTTATAAAAGTTAAAAAGTGCTTTAATATTACTCTTAAGTTTTAAAACATGCTATAATAATAATAATCTAAGAGTGGATTTATTTACATATTTGGGATCAAAGACATTTATTCTCATAAGAATTTACAAAAATTCACTTAAATGAGAAATACATTAAAAACAAAATACATAATGAGTGTTAGGTAGTAAGTGGTCACCGAGCGTGCCAGGCAAAGTACACAAATATTTTATGTCACAAAATTATATAAATAGTGCGGGTAGAAATTTTACCATCATAACAGGATTGAAGATCGCCCGTGCAAACAAAAACAAACGGTGCAAGCGAACACAGATACGTGGATTTAAAGATTCTTTGCTAAAATCGACTAGCCATCATAACGAGAATTATTGTAATATTGTATTAAATATTAATATGAATTTTTAATGATATTTAGTAACCGTAATGATGGTTTTTAATATTTATTCGTTTATTTGTTTGATAGATTTTTTTCTGTTTTTTGTTTGTTTAGAAGTAGTTAGCGTGTTATTATAGTCTGTGATTTTGTAGGCTATTTTTAACAGTTTTTTAAATGTTAGCATACTTTTAGCTTCCTTGATATCTACAGGCAATTTATTGTATAGTTGTGCGCTTTCATAAATGATGTTCTTTTTTCCGTAGTTGGTTCTTGGCCGTCGCAGAATTAAGTTATTAGCACTTCTTAACATTTTAGTTTGCACATTTTTCTTTTTTGTAAAGGTTAAGTTAGTATGTATGTTTTTATTTAAAATTTTTCGTATTAGTACGCAGGAAAAGTATTTGTATGATTGTTTTATATTAAGTATTTTAGTATCTTTGTATATTTTGGTTATAGACGTCAGGAAATCATAACCGAAAAGAATTTTGATCAACTTGTTTTGCGTGATTTGAACAGAATTGAGATTAGTTTTGGCAGCTGATCCCCAGATTTCTACCAGATAATCGATGTGGGGCTTAGCTAGGGAGTTATAGATAGTGTAACGGACTTTTTGTGGAAGGCAGCGAACTATTCCGCGTAGTGCTCCGGTTAGGGATATCAGTTTTTGTTTTATTTTTTTCAAGTGTTCTTTCCAAGTCAGTTGAAAGTAAGACCCAAATACTTCTCGCTTGTTACTTTATTAATTACTATGTCATAAATTTTTAGAGGTGTGAGATCGGGTATTTTTTTATTCTTTGCTGCAAAGATATAGTTTGTTTTGGCTACGTTTATTGTAAGTAGATTTGAGCAAAACCACTTATTTAGTATGTTTAGATCATTTTGCGCGTCTTTATTAATTGATTCAATATTGTTACCGAAGTAACATAAGCTGGTATATGGTATCAAGAATAGTTTTACTTTTTGATGTTTCACGCGTACAATACTGAGGACATATTCTATTAATTATTGAGTAGCCGCATTCTAGGAGTGTATTTTTATATTCTTCAACTGAGCTGTCCAGGTTAAGCAGATCCAGATTAAAGTAACCAAATACTACGGCACTTTTTTATGATGTAGTTGTAATGAAAGAGTTTCTAGAAATTTTGTAACGTTTGTTCTACCAGGCTTCTATGCTGCGCTAATATTAAGTGAGAATTTATCTATGTGTATCCACAAGAACTGGCTTTCATCTTTTTCGAGTTCATCAACATAGCAATGTTTAGGAATGTTATGGACAAATATTGATACTCCACCGCCAATAACATTTTTTCTGTGGTATGGATGGAGTGGATGGATGGTAATGAGTATATCCGGGTAATTGAAATCTCTTAGTTTCATCATTAGACTTAATCCATGTTTTAGTAAGAATAAGCACATGTATCGTAGATTTGAAAGATTCAGCTACACACCTCAATTTATCGAATTTTCCAGGCTTTACGATACTTCTAGTATTTGCGTACAAGAATTTTAAAGATTGTTTATTGGTTATAAGGTTAATATAATTGTTTGTTATTTGGTAAGTAGTGTTATGTTCGTTTGCTTTGTCACTCATGCATCGAACTTTTTTGGTAATGTTTTAATAATTTTTGGTATATTTTTAATATACTTAATACGTATATTTTCTTCTCCCTCTTCAGTTCTACGTTTCAGTTCTTCTTTCAGATGTTTAAGTTGATTTTGTTGAAATGGTGTCTGATCAGGATAAAATTTAATTTTACTATCTTTTATGTTTCCTTTGTTGCGCAAAATAAGCTTTACAATTTCTTCCGAATCAAATGTAACTTTTATTGGACGATTCGTTCCTGGCTTGTATCTTCCAATGCGTACATTTTTTTTGGTTCAGTGCAGTCTTTGAGTAAGTTTTTGATAGCATCAACTACTTTAGTCTTGTCTAGATCAATACGTTCCTTGGCGTCCGTTGACTGAGGTTCAGGAATACAAGCAATAAGTATGTTCTTCTTTGTAATGCTTTGGTCGTTTAATTCAGACAGTATTTCTTCATAGGAGGGTTTTATAGATGTATCGCTTGGTAGATTTTTTAAGTTTTCTACATTAGACTCCTGTGACACAAATTTTTCCCTAGCTTTCTGTGCAAAGTTTTTGAGACTTTGTATTTCGTCTTGAATGTTACTTTGATTTGTGGCTGAAAAGGAACCAGACAAACGTTAACTAAGAAACAGAAGGGAAGAATCGAGGCTTCTCTCGATTCGTTCTCCTATAGCGCCTACGTTGGGTTCGGGAACAACGTATGTGATCTCCGCAACGGAGTAACACACAAGGGCGATAACCTCTTCCTTTTCAGAAAATAGGTTCAGGCAGGGATTACGGGTATTCCGAAGTCGTCCTGGTCCCAATGCCTTAATTCTTCGATATGGACTGTATTATTTTGAGGGAAGAATTCCTTGGGAATAAAACAGCAATTATCTTCAAACCGTTCCGTGAGAGAGTAATTACTTTTCCCTATCACTTCCCTACACTTTTTCTTTTTTCTTCTTCTTATTAACTGCTGGTCTTGCACTTTTCCCAAAGTTTCTCCGAACTTCCCCGAACGTTCCCGAAGGATTCCCGAACGAATTGCAAGAAAACTCGTTTACTGAGCTACCCCAGAGCTATACGCGAAAGTGAGCCGCGCCATTTGTGCGCTTGCGCAACTCAATTACATCAATTCGTACTATCACTCTCTCACGGTTTACTCAATAACTTTATTTGTATAAGACATACATTTATACAATTTACTTATAAAGATAGCACAAAAAATATCTATACTACGATATACATTACATTTTTATATCACAAAAAACCTTTTATTTATTTAACAAAATATGCTTATTTTACTCACATGTTCAAAGTTGGAATTTTTATTTTTTTTAAATATTTAACATAGAAAGTTAAAGCAATGTTTTCCACTTGAAATTATACATATCTTAACCAATACAACAGTTTAATTTACATTTTCTCTATACATTTCACTATTAAAACACTTTTAAATTTCTTATACAAAACTATCATTATTTCACTTATTCACAGGAATTTTCACATAAAAATAACACAGAATTCACCTCTTTATTTCTATTATTATATCTGTACGTGTGGTACAATCAATCTGAAATGTTTTACAAGTCATTTTTACATAAATTGCTGAAATTGCAAATATTTAAATTTCTACATATTTGGCCTCCTAAATACGTGGCTAGCGTGCGTCTATGAACTCACACTATTTGAACAACTAACTTTGCACGGCTATCGACTATCAGTAAAAATGGAAAGTCTAATATCAACAATACTAGGTGAATAAATGATTCTACTCAATTCTCAAACGTTGAAAACTACCTCTAATCAGATTCTTATCAGTTATCATGTTTCTTATCAAACAATATAAGTGAATGTTTTCATAAATCAATCATAGAAAATAGGCATTTGTTTTCATACAAAACATATCAAACTCATATAAGACAATACTTATGCAATTAATTTCCATTAATTCTACTTATGCACAGCGATCATCTCGACCGGGGAACAAATCCTGGTCTCTAACTTTATTTTAATATTTTTTTTAAATTAACATTATTGGAAAGATGATTTCGACCGGGGAACAAATCCGGTAACATAATTTATATCTTAAAATTCCCTATATGAATTTATTAAGAGATATTACTAAGAAAACGATAAACTATTCCGGCCTGGGAGTCGAACCCAAGACCTTCATATCATTAATTCGATATTTCTTTAAGATTCAACTAAGCATTTTCTTATCGGAGTATTGTTGCTTGATAATTTGCTTTTTAGAAGCTATTCGTAATCGGTTAACTAATAAATTGAAATATTCTTATAGGCGCGTCGCCAACAGTGGCTAGGTTTGTTATCCGTTTCTCAGTCGACAGCATAGCATCTCTAATGTCTTGAATTTCACATCTTATCATTGCGATGTCATTCCTAATTTCATTAGCACTCTCTTTCTGCGCATTGATTGATGAAATTAAGAGTTTCATCATTTCTGTCTTTTTTTCTGAATATCAGAGAGTTGACATTGGACCTGATCATATTCGCCGTCGGAATGCTTGCGTTTATTACGCACTGGGCATGTTTGATAGATTTGGTTGGGAACCACTACGCTCAAAGTTCGTGTCGCTTCCAGTAGGTGATCGAAGTACATTCATGTTTACTTCAACGTAACAAACACTTTGGTTTCTATGACCCACGCACTGAGATTTCAGACCGAGTGGAGATTGGAGCCCGTACCGTTTACCCGAGGGGGTGAAGAGCGGTTACCGCTGGTCTTCAACTGGTCACGCGCGGAGTAAAAAGTAGTAACATAATGCACACGCGTAATGTTAATTACAAGTTTTATGTTATGAG